GCAGAGCGAGTCCGTGCAGAGTCAGCTTGGGGCTGGAAGGTCAGAACAGATGTGATGTTGCTCTGCAGAGGCCCCACCAGGGAGCCTCCAGAAGGGGTCCTGCAGACGCCGATCTAAGCGTGCACATCGTCAGGACTCAGGGTTTCCTCCCTCCTCACGCTGGCCACTTCCAGGGCATTTGCTACCTCGTCTTTTCCTCAATCGTGGAGTGAAGGGCGGGGGGCGAGGGTGATGAGGGAGCTCCAAGCAACCAGTCAGCTCCTGGTGGCCAGCTCAGGCCAGAAGAAAGGAAGTGGCAAGGGCTGGTGAGGGCCCCCAGCATCACCTGTCTTGTCCCCATTGACAATTCCATCCCACGTGGACGTGGCCATTGGTGGAAAGTTCTTGGCTGCCTCTGTTCTCAACCCCGTGGGACTGGAGAGCTCCCGTAGGAGAAACCAGAGGGACTCCAGAGGAGCTCCTGCTCACTGTGCCTGATAGCTCTGAGCACCCCATTCTGGGGGTGCTGCACAGGTCACCCCCTGGCACTCTGGCTCCCCGAGGCCCACTGGGCTACGCCTACCTGCCGAGGGTCCGACCCAACCATTTCCATCTTCCTCCACTCAGCAATGCATTTGCCCTTAAAAAAAAATTTAACAGCCTTTTGCCCTTTTTAGGTTCTGGAAGTGAGACGGACGGAGATGGAAAACCAAAGTACGCTTAATCAAAAGTGTAGCTCTCACAACTTAAAATGACAAGATGAAGTCAGAGTTACAGGGATGGAAGGTCTCTAGCCTTGATCGGATTTCCCCCCAAAACCCTACCCCCAGACTTCCAGGTCCCCGGAGGGCAACTCCTCCCTCTGATCTCCTTCCACCAGACACCGTGGCTTTATCCTCAACACCTCACTTTCTCACGTATCCTACAGCCAGCAGGGCTGAACCGCAGTGCAGATGTCTCCAGCATCCGACCCTCTCCCCACCACTGCTGCACGGTGTGGCTGGGCAGTTGGCAGCTCACCTGGGTCTCCCGTCTCCCTTGGGTAAGAGCACGAGTGAGCCGCGCCTGCTCTGAAGTGTCCACACTGCCCTCGAGTGGAGCCCCACCTTTGAATGGTCCCCAAGGCCCCTCTGGACCTGTCCCCTGAGATTCCTCCTCTCTTGACACTGCACCTCCCTCACTTCATCTCGGCTACTCTGGTCTCTCTGCTGCTCCAGACTTTCCAGAAACCATGCCTGGTTTCTGCACAGCTCCCGCCTCACTTCCTGTAAGTCTTTGCTCAACCTCTGGGGAGGCCGCCCTGACCTGGTACCTGACTGCCTGCCTCCAATCTGCCTTTTCGGGAGCCCTGGTCACCTCTAGCCTATTCCACACTTGCTTATTCCACCCATCTTCTCGGTACTGTCCACCTGTGGGTGCAAGCTTCACCAGGGCCTGCGTGCTTTGTAGTTTCGTCCACTGACGTTTCCCACTTGTCTTGCACACTAACTGGTCTCAGCTGCATTCAGATGCTCAGCCAAGTCTCCCAACTTTCTGCACTTCAGAGGGTAGTCATAGTGTCTGTAATCCAGGCGGAACCCAGAGCCCTGGGCATTTCTGAGTAACGGTGGGAAGCAAAGTTGGAGGTTATAGAGCTAGATTTTTCACTTATGGTCCTGCTACCTTATAAAAAACTAAGGGGAGTTTGCCTGTGTTTGTCACTGGCTTATGACTGGCCCCTGTGAGGGTTATGCCCTGCTTCTCAGCTCTGTCCCCAGGCTTGGCCCCGTCAATGTGCTCCAAAAGGGTGTTCTGCTTCCTGAAGATCACGGGGAAGCAATAGTAGGAAACAGATTAAGCATTCAGGCCTACCCATCAGCAGATAGATGGACAAATAAAATGTACCCTCACCATACAGTGGGCCATTCAACCATGAGAAGGAAGGAAGCACTGACACGTGCTACAGCATGGATGGGCTATGAAAGCATTGCATTCAGTGGAAGAAGCCACACACGACATTGGGTGGTTCTGTTTATATTAAATGTCCAGAAATGGTAAGTCTAGAGAGACAGAAAGTACATTAGTGGTTGCAGGGACTGTGGGAGGAAGATGGGGAGTGACTGGGTTTCTCTTTGGGGTGATGACTTATTTTAGATGATGAACTAGATAGTGGTGATGGTTGCACGATATTGTGGATGCGCAGATGCCTCTGAAGTGAGTGGGACGCAAAGCCGACAGAGGCTGGGCAGAGCGAGTCCGTGCAGAGTCAGCTTGGGGCTGGAAGGTCAGAACAGATGTGATGTTGCTCTGCAGAGGCCCCACCAGGGAGCCTCCAGAAGGGGTCCTGCAGACGCCGATCTAAGCGTGCACATCGTCAGGACTCAGGGTTTCCTCCCTCCTCACGCTGGCCACTTCCAGGGCATTTGCTACCTCGTCTTTTCCTCAATCGTGGAGTGAAGGGCGGGGGGCGAGGGTGATGAGGGAGCTCCAAGCAGCCAGTCAGCTCCTGGAGGCCAGCTCAGGCCAGAAAAAAGGAAGTGGCAAGGGCTGGTGAGGGCCCCCAGCATCACCTGTCTTGTCCCCATTGACAATTCCATCCCACGTGGACATGGCCATTGGTGGAAAGGTCTTGGCTGCCTCTGTTCTCAACCCCGTGGGACTGGAGAGCTCCCGTAGGAGAAACCAGAGGGACTCCAGAGGAGCTCCTGCTCACTGTGCCTGATAGCTCTGAGCACCCCATTCTGGGGGTGCTGCACAGGTCACCCCCTGGCACTCTGGCTCCCCGAGGCCCACTGGGCTACGCCTACCTGCCGAGGGTCCGACCCAACCATTTCCATCTTCCTCCACTCAGCAATGCATTTGCCCTTAAAAAAAAATTTAACAGCCTTTTGCCCTTTTTAGGTTCTGGAAGTGAGACGGACGGAGATGGAAAACCAAAGTACGCTTAATCAAAAGTGTAGCTCTCACAACTTAAAATGACAAGATGAAGTCAGAGTTACAGGGATGGAAGGTCTCTAGCCTTGATCGGATTTCCCCCCAAAACCCTACCCCCAGACTTCCAGGTCCCCGGAGGGCAACTCCTCCCTCTGATCTCCTTCCACCAGACACCGTGGCTTTATCCTCAACACCTCACTTTCTCACGTATCCTACAGCCAGCAGGGCTGGACCGCAGTGCAGATGTCTCCAGCATCCGACCCTCTCCCCACCACTGCTGCACGGTGTGGCTGGGCAGTTGGCAGCTCACCTGGGTCTCCCGTCTCCCTTCGGTAAGAGCACGAGTGAGCCGCGCCTGCTCTGAAGTGTCCACACTGCCCTCGAGTGGAGCCCCACCTTTGAGTGGTCCCCAAGGCCCCTCTGGACCTGTCCCCTGAGATTCCTCCTCTCTTGACACTGCACCTCCCTCACTTCATCTCGGCTACTCTGGTCTCTCTGCTGCTCCAGACTTTCCAGAAACCATACCTGGTTTCTGCACAGCTCCCCCCTCACTTCCTGTAAGTCTTTGCTCAACCTCTCGGGGAGGCCACCCTGACCTGGTGTCTGGCTCCCTGCCTCCAATCTGCCTTTTCAGGAGCCCTGGTCACCTCTAGCATATTCCACCCATCTTCTCGGTACTGTCTGCCTGTGGGTGCAAGCTTCACCAGGGCCTGCGTGCTTTGTAGTTTCGTCCACTGACGTTTCCCACTTGTCTTGCACACTAACTGGTGCACACTGGTGGGACATTAAATTGGAGTGATGCTGTGTGCTTCATTAGGAAATACTGAAAAAAATCAAGGAATCTGTAAGGTGGATATATATGGAAAGCCTATTGTTTGACATCTCCACCTTTGATTTATGTTTATGTGTTCAGGGACCTAGAGCCCCTATAGGGTGGGCCCCTCTGAATTTCCAGAATTCATAAAAAGGATCAGAAGATTTCACTTTGCTTAAAAACAATTCCCCTATTTCATTGTTACTAAAAAAAATAAAATATCCCAAACTGACACAGGAAATTCTGATACAGAGAATACTCTTGACATTGAAAAAATACACAGCCTTAATCTTCAATGCAACAGTTGCTGAATATATTTTAAGTATGGCGGAAACAGAAGAATTTTTTTTCCTGTTGACATACATTTGAAGATTTCCATAGACATCTGAGCCAGGCATTCCCACTGCTCAGCCTCAAGGGCAACTGCTTCCGTGTATTAGTAGATGTGAGGACAAGGTGACTTTCCCATTGAACTTGCTCTCACTGTGCCCCGAACTGCGGGCCACATCCCGGCACTGAGCAGAGCGAGGATAGATGTGTGTGCACTGGGAAGCCGCTCTTGTCATTCTGTAGAGTTTGGAGAGACCTTCGCTCTGCAGACATGGTTTTCAGAGTTGATCACTCAGGCTACTTGGCCTTCCTCTCAGTTTTGGACACAAGGCCACATGCTACACACACCAGGTCAGGGTCAGGAAGTCAGATTTTCAAAGGGAGATTTGGAGCTAAGAGTTCAATTCTGTATTTCAGTAACGTTCACCACCCTACACCCATGGTCGGCAAACTGCGGCTCTCGAGCTGCTCCATGCCTGCTCCATGCCTGCTCCATGCCTGCTCCATGCCTGCTCCATGCCTGCTCCATGCCTGCTCCATGCCTGCTCCATGCCTGCTCCATGCCTGCTCCATGCCTGCTCCATGCCTGCTCCATGCCTGCTCCATGCCTGCTCCATGCCTGCTCCATGCCTGCTCCATGCCTGCTCCATGCCTGCTCCATGCCTGCTCCATGCCTGCTCCATGCCTGCTCCATGCCTGCTCCATGCCTGCTCCATGCCTGCTCCATGCCTGCTCCATGCCTGCTCCATGCCTGCTCCATGCCTGCTCCATTGCCTGCTCCATGCCGCTCCATGCCTGCTCCATGCCTGCTCCATGCCTATTCCATGCCTGCTCCATGCCGCTCCATGCCTGCTCCATGCTGCTCCATGCCTGTTCCATGCTGCTCCATGCTGCTCCATGCCTGTTCCAAGCCTGCTCCATGCCTGCTCCGTGCTGCTCCATGCTACTTCATGCTGCTTCATGCCTGCTCCATGCTGCTCCATGCCTGTTCCATGCTGCTCCATGCCTGCTCCATGCCGCTCCATGCCTGCTCCATGCCTACTCCTCGCTGCTCCATGTTGCTCCATGCTGCTCCATGCTGCTCCATGCTGTTCCATGTCTGCTCCATGCTGATCCACACTGATCCATACTTGTTCCCCCTCACTCACTTTCACACACATCAGTAGAATGGGCAGCAGCACAGAGGAGAGGGTGACTTCTCCTAGGGTGGCACCAAAGAAAATATCACAAAAGAGAAGGCACTTGAGTTGAGCCTGAATGATAGAAAAAAGTTTACAAGCAGAGCCTGAAGGGGAAGGGCATTCCCAGCAGAGAGAACAGCATGGCCTCAGGTACTGAGGCGGAGTGCACACTGCCGGTTGGGCATGGCAAGGAGCACGGAGCTCTACAGGCTGGAGCGCCCCCTTCACTTTCTACCAATGAATGTTTACTTGGTGCTGTGAGCATGTGAGAAGTGAGGGCACCACCCTCAGAGGGCTTACCTCCCAGCATGAGAAACAAGCAGTGAACAGCTAACAAGCATGAAAACAAGCTAACTGTGGACAGAGATGAGTCCGGATCCAAGCAGTGAGGGTAGAGAATGGCAGGGCGGCCTGTGGCCAGCACAGAGGCTGAGGAGGAGATTGAGGGAGCCGGTGACTCATGCCAATAGCTGTGGGGACAGCAAGGCAAGCCGGGAGCCCCGTGCACAGAGGTCGACATGGACGGGAGGAGCTTGTGCTCAATTCCAAGTGTAACAGGAAGCCTCGGTTTTGAACAGGGAAGCAGATAGTCAAGTTGACATCCCCCCTCCAAAATCTCTGCACTGTTAAGAGAAGAATGGATTGGGTGGGGATGGGGAGATGCTGGGAAGAAGTGGCAAGAGCAGAAGGCTAGCGATATAATTCCGGCTGGAGGTGGGACTTCCTCGTGACAGTAGCAGAGAAAATGGAGAACAGCGAGCGAATCTGGAGCATGCCATAGGGTAGGGGATCCGCCCACAGGACCCACTGCTGCCTGGGATGCTCCAATAGGGTGCAGGGAGCCATGAGGGGTTCCCCTAGGCCAGTGGTTCTCAACCTTGGCTGCACATTAGAATCACCTGGGAATCTTTTTTAAAATCCTGATTTCTGGGCCTCACCCTCCGGAAATTCTGTTTCTTTGTTACTAATGTTGTGCCTCCCCTACCCCATAACAAAGAAACAAAATTTCCGGAGGATGGGGCCCAGAAATCAGGATTTTAAAAAGATTCCCAGGTGATTCTAATGTGCAGCCAAGGTTGAGAACCACTGGCCTAGGCTGTCCTGAGTGCTGGGTGGATGGAGGTGCCGTTTACTGAGATGGGGGTCAGTGGGTGCCTTTCAGCAGGAGGAACAAGATACCCCTTCATTGCTGGGGTACAGCTGTGCACCAGGTGCAGTCTGTGGGCTCCAGGGAGGCCTGTGAGGAGTGGGGGTTTCAGCTGAGAGCAGAAGGAGGAGCAGCTATGGAGCAGGTGGGAGAGGGGATGTCCAAGCTGCCCAGGACCAGCTGTGGGGAGCGGCTGGATTCCTGGTTGTCACAGAATGGGCACCTGGGGTTCCAGGCCTGCTCCATGCTGCTCCATGCCTGCTCCATGCCACTCCATGCCTGTTCCATGCCTGTTCCATGCCTGTTCCAGGCCTGCTCCATGCTGCTCCATGCCTGCTCCATGCCTGCTCCATGCCGGTTCCATGTCTGCTCCATGCTGCTCCATGCCTACTCCATGCCTACTCTGCGCTGCTCCATGCTGCTCCATGTCTGCTCCATGCTGATCCACACTGATCCATACTTGCTCCCCCTCACTCACTTTCACACACATCAGTAGAATGGGCAGCAGCACAAAGGAGAGGGTGACTTCTCCTAGGGTGGCACCAAAGAAAATATCACAAAAGAGAAGGCACTTGAGTTGAGCCTGAATGATAGAAAAAAGTTTACAAGCAGAGCCTGAAGGGGAAGGGCATTCCCAGCAGAGAGAACAGCATGGCCTCAGGTACTGAGGCGGAGTGCACACTGCCGGTTGGGCATGGCAAGGAGCACGGAGCTCTACAGGCTGGAGCGCCCCCTTCACTTTCTACCAATGAATGTTTACTTGGTGCTGTGAGCATGTGAGAAGTGAGGGCACCACCCTCAGAGGGCTTACCTCCCAGCATGAGAAACAAGCAGTGAACAGCTAACAAGCATGAAAACAAGCTAACTGTGGACAGAGATGAGTCCGGATCCAAGCAGTGAGGGTAGAGAATGGCAGGGCGGCCTGTGGCCAGCACAGAGGCTGAGGAGGAGATTGAGGGAGCCGGTGACTCATGCCAATAGCTGTGGGGACAGCAAGGCAAGCCGGGAGCCCCGTGCACAGAGGTCGACATGGAAGGGAGGAGATTGTGCTCAATTCCAAGTGTAACAGGAGGCCTCGGTTTTGAACAGGGAAGCAGATAGTCAAGTTGACATCCCCCCTCCAAAATCTCTGCACTGTTAAGAGAAGAATGGATTGGGTGGGGATGGGGAGATGCTGGGAAGAAGTGGCAAGAGCAGAAGGCTAGCGATATAATTCCGGCTAGAGGTGGGGCTGCCTCGTGACAGTAGCAGAGAAAATGGAGAACAGCGAGCGAATCTGGGGCATGCCATAGGGGAGGGGATCCGCCCACAGGACCCACTGCTGCCTGGGATGCTCCAATAGGGTGCAGGGAGCCATGAGGGGTTCCCCTAGGCCAGTGGTTCTCAACCTTGGCTGCACATTAGAATCACCTGGGAATCTTTTTTAAAATCCTGATTTCTGGGCCTCATCCTCCGGAAATTGTTTCTTTGTTACTAATGTTGTGCCTCCCCTACCCCATAACAAAGAAACAGAATTTCGAGGAATGGGGGAATGGGGCAGGGGCCACCGCATAAGAACTGTTGGTTTTGTCCCAAGAGGGCAATGGGGATTTAGTCAGACCTGCAGCCCACTCCCACTCAATCACCCAAGAACAAGTTGGGGGAGGGTGGGGGAGGGAGACAGCAGTTTGCCATGAACCTGCAAACTCTCACACATTTGTATTTTCACAAAATGAGAAAATAACATAAAAGCAAAGGGAGGAAGCCTTGAACTTTAAAAGCTGGGCCAGAAATTGTACAATACAGTTCTAAACCACAATGGTGTCCCAGCGAGAGCCATCCTGTCCAGCGCTGACCTGACTTCCGCGCGGCCGCCCGGGACAGTGGAAGCACCTGTTTGTTTCATCGCTGCTGCTTTGAGGGCTGAGACCAACGTCTTTCCTCCCGGCGTGTTTGTGGTTTCATCGCAATGCGTCAGGCTCGGTGTGCTCCCCAGGAACATCTGTGTCTCAGGGTTCAGGCCGGTTTTTAAAAAACAACTGACAACAGAGAACATCCACCAGGAGACAAAGGTGTTTGTGCATTCTGAGGACAGACCTATAGCCACACGAAAAATGGGGGGAAAGTACTCCGCCTGTTCTTGGCATTCTTGTTGGCACATGTTATGATCGTTTGGCAAGTGGAACCGAGTTCAAGAGGCCGTGGTCCTTTCTCCCTCCCACAGCTCCTCTGCTCAGCGGGGCTTTGCTCTTCCCAATGCCCCTGGGAAACGGCCCCCAGAGAACTGACATGTGGCTGCTCTGCACCCTCCAACTCACAGACACCTTCCCCCCCCACCCCTCCCCCAATGACTGCAATTCCTTCTAGACTCGAGAAGGACGCTCTCACACGCCCCAGGAGGGTGAGCAGGTGCCGCTTTGGGATGGAGTTTGGAAATTCATGTCCAGGTTATGGTAGAATATGATTTCTCGTATTGTAAAGTTCAGGTTTTGTGTTTTTGCCTTAAGGCTGTATTTCTTCTTTCATTGAATTGCACACATCAGAGAGGGCAAAAGCAAAATTCTACACAGGCCCCATAATCCAGAGACTTCAAGAGTCTCAACCCCTCACGTGAGCCTCAGTTTCCCCTGAGGACAATTTCATAGAATTTTCGTCGAACTTGTTATAACGACTGAGTGGGAACGCTGTGGTCTCATCCTTGGCCACACAATCCAGTCACTTGGGGAGCTTTGTAAGAACCATTCCTCAGACCCAGGGCAGCACAAGCTTTGGGGACCAGGGCTGGGCCCCCGTGGTTCAGACACACAGTGGGATTGAGGGTTGCCGGATATGCCTGGGAACACTCCGCCCTTGTCTGGCGGAACACAGACGGAGCTCTGTGAACTGTTATGGGTGGTGGCACACCCTGCTGCTCGGTAAACTTAATTATCGATTATAAGTGAGCAGGGACATCAGCTTAGAGTTGAACAAAAATGTGTCTGTTTTGATTGCATTCCTTTTTCAACATCGATTTTGACTCCTTCAAGCCCAATCCTCTTTCACCCAGCATAACCACCGAACTCAATCCTTTTAAAAGCCAAACAGGTTTTATTTTAAACCATTTTTGTTGAGAGTGAATTGCCTGTGTCTGCCTCAGTAGAGAGTTGACTTCTCTTGGTGGCGCCAGTTCCCTGGTGGCAGTGTGTTTCATCATGTGCTTCGTAGGTAGCTCAGGAACAAGGCAGGCGGCTCTGGTGACATCCCTGATTCTCAGCCCCGGCACCCCTGTCAGTGTGCCCTGGTGCTTACAGTGTCCTGCCTGCTTTACTCCCAGAAGCGCTTGAGCCAACATCCCAGATGGCCTGGTATCCTGTCCACAGAAGTCAGAAACCCGAGCTCTCAAGTGGGTAAGCAAAGTACTTCTTTCAATTGAGGTATAATATACACCCTGTGAAGTGTGAAAAGTGCATGAATATTGAGTGTTCACCTCTGTGGTGCTTTACATACATACAAACCCATGTAATAAATGCCCAGGCTTAGAAAGAACCTCTGTGGTGCTTTACATACATACAAACCCATGTAACAAATGCCCAGGCTTAGAAAGAGAGCTGTGTTATTTATTTTTTTTCTAATTACGCCCGGCCGGCATGGCTCAGTGGTTGAGCGTTGACCTATGAACTGGGAGGTCACGGTTCGATTCCCGGTCAGGGCACACGCCCGAGGTGAGGGCTCAATCCCCAGTGTGGAGCATACAGTAAGCAACTGATGAATGATTCTCTCTCATCATTGACGTTTCTATCTCTTTCTCCCTCTCCCTTCTTCTCTGAAATCAATTTAAAAATACATAATAAATAAATAAATTTGAACTAATTAAAATTATGTACAATCAAACGTCAGCTCCTCAATCACACTGACCACATTTCAGATGCCCAGTGGCCACCTGTGTACACCGGACAGTGCAGCTCTGGATCATGCCACCCTCACAGAAAGTGCTGTGGGGCAGCGGAGCTCCGGAACACTCAATGCCTACCCACTCTGCCCGGCTTCCTGCACCTTTCCCAACCCGTCCCCTCCCGCTGCTGCGGAAGACACTGGCCTCGGGGCTGCTGCCTGCTGCTTGGCTGACGTGGCCGCAGGCTGGTCTTGCATGTACAGCCCACTGAGTCGAGGCCCAAGATGTTCACACCCTGAGCCCTGGGACCTGTGCGACTTGACCTGGCAGAGGGGCTTTGCAGGTGTGATTCCGTGAGTGACTTTGAGGTGACAGAGTGTCCTGGGTGTCTGGCCGGTCCAATGTCATCACAGGGTCCTGGTAAGAGGGAGGGAGGTCATCACGTGAGGTCACCTGTTACAACAGCCAGAGGAAACTCTCCTTATAGGCTAAAGCCCACTTCACTGGAGACTCAAGAATGGCTACATCTTCTCAAAAGTCAAGAACTATTCTGGGGTCCAAACCAAACTAAAAAATATCTCCTTCCCTCCCGGACACCATACGTTTCTGGCGTTGAAGCAATCCACCCATCCAGAGCCTGCACCCAACTCAACACCCGTGCCTCGACCCACCACCAATGCTCCCAAACTGTCTTGTTTTGTGGTGAAACAAAAATGACTCGGGGCCTTTGTAAACCGACATGAACGCCCGTGGTGCCGCATCTGCACAAAGCACTGGAATAGGACGGGTGCCCGAGAGCACTGCACTCCTCCAGCGAAGCACGAACATAAGGAAGTTGAGGACTGCCATCTCTG